GCAAACCACTTCTGAAAAATCTTGCCAAGAAAACTGCAGGAACTTGTCCAGGCAGTCGCCATGAGTCAAAAAAAATGACTAGAAGACACACACACACACAAATCTACACTTAGGAAGTGGATTTCCATTATACAGCATTTTTTTAAATCTGGGAGAAATGAAGTTCTGGTTATGCGCATATGACTCACTGATTAGGTTTGTGGGGGGTTGTTTTGTTTTAGTGATTTCTCATCCAATGAAGTAACAACATTGGGCTACTGGAATATGATATCATATATTAAGTAATGTTCCTGCAACTTCCCCAGACTGCTCACCCAGAAAGCTTCACTTTTACTGTCAAAGCAATTTCAGATTCCTATGCAAAATTAAAACTGCATAGGAATAGTTCAGGATAATTTTTGAAAGCTGATACTGAATTTGGACAGATTTGTAAACTTCTGCAGAAAACACTTAGTACAAATCAAGCATGCTATGAAACCCTCTTAAGAGTCTGAGCCCTGCAAGGATAAAAATGAAAAGGTTGTATAATTCCCACACTGGCCCACATTCAGTGGAAAAGTGAAAGGTCCTATACACATGCAAATATAAGTGTGATAATCAAGAGTTCCCATTCATGTAAGGAGGCTTGTGTGTGAACGTACTTTTGCTAAACACATAGATGTGGAAAACATGGCTGATGGGTATGTTAGTTTATGGCTATCAAGTATGATTCCATTTGTCTTTCATATACTTGATAAATGCATCACAAAAGTATTTGAATATGCCTATCTAGCCTATAGAACAGTATTTCTCAACCTTGGCCACTTGAAGATGTGTGGACTTCAACTCCCAAATGCATGGCTGGCTGGGGAATTCTGGGAGTCATGTTATCTTGGCAACAATACAGAAGTGGTTTGACATTGATTTCTTCAAGGGTTTGTTTTTTTAAAAATTCCTTATCTGGACTACAGCCTTGTGCTTTCTTAGTGTTCTATCCAAATCTAACCAAGTTTGAAAAAGCTAAGATCATCCAGGTACTGATGGAATTCTTTATTTGAATATGTGATGATTTTCTTGTGTATACTCATGTACTCCATAGCTTGCTAGTGTTTAATGCACTTAAAAGAATTCTACTTGTCTGCAAACTGAATATAAAGTCAATCAATCAATCAATCAATCAATCAAATTCTTTTTGGTACTTTGCAATAAATTAGTGCATCTTCTTTATACTATATGTATAATACTATACATATTAGATCATATACTATCTAATATGATCACAGTAATTAGTTTTTCTTAACAGACAATGCTATTCAGAGATACAATAGAGTAAATTCTTGGACCGTTCCATGAGTATACAGGGGATAACTGAATTTCTGAAGTGCACACAACCATTAAAATCACAGGAAATCTCCTAGAAAAGGTGTGTTCATATTGGTAAAATAGATGACAATTTTAGTCTATTTTGTTGCTTTTAGATGTAGTCTGATGCCATAATGATTGCTCTGCCTTCCTTATGCCATTTTGCTACAGTTAATAGTTTCTGTCCCCACTTTCCCATAAAATGTATCTTTACATTTCCCATAAAATCTCATAGATCTCAGCTGTTTCCACAATGAATGAGGGCAAAGCTGAATGATACTACCCAATAGTAACTCCTCACAGTCCATCTTCACCTCCTCATCAGTAAATGTTCCAAAGGTTTGGCTAAGGAAGGGATGTCTCTTGGCTTCAACAAGAAGGATGAAAGAAAAATGTTACATCTTCTTACCTTCAGTAATGCTTCTTGAAGATCTGCTCCATTATTGATGCCCCTGTTCATGGACACAAACCGCTCAAATGGAGGTTTATCTTTGACATTTGGATTGTGGAGGCTGGTATTCAACATGATGACAGAGAATGAAAGGATGTAGCAGGCATCTGGCAAATTAAAAAATGTGAGGTTAATAGCTGACAATAGTGGGCTTCTGAAAGAGAGAAAAAAGAGAGAAATCAGGTTAACTAGCAGGATGATACCTAATGAGGCCTTCTAGAGCCAGGAGCTTACCTTGATAGCTCAGCTAGTAACCATTTTCTCCAAAACATTTGCCATCCCAAAGGCAATTCTGGGCTGTATGTTTTTATGACAGCCTCACTTTGTATACACATTGTGGCTCTATTTCTGGGTCAGTGCAATAAAAATATTGTGGCCACTAAACTACAAAAACAGCAACAGAGCTCAAGTAAAACACCCCAGAGTCTTGTAGAATGGGCAGTCGTAATAAATGTAAATAAATAAAACATTAGCATACAGTAGGCTCTAGTCCTTTTCAAAGGTGATACCCTATCTCAGGTATTATCCTGGCACCTAGTTATATATTTTTGTGTATAATATAAAGATCTATAATGGCTTTTATAGTTTTTCAAGAAGTCTTTTAATTTAGAGGTAGGGTGCATACTCTTTCATGTTAACACCTATCATGATGTGATCAGTGTTATCCTTATCTTGCTTGTTTCTTTTAATCACTTCCCTAACAATGAGTTGAAAGGCAGGACAGAAAATACACATTAACTAAAAGAGCTAGATCTCTGGCATGAAAGTTAGTAGAGGGTGCACAGTAATGTAGAAATAGAGCAGAAATTAATTTCAAGCGCAGATTGAAATCAGACTGGTATCTCTGTCCAGGACTATTAGGACTAGTACTGTAGAATTCAAATAAATATCTCCCACCATCCATTCCCATGAGTACCTGTTGACTGGAAAATGCCTGAGTTGCACTGACAATACCAGTTGGCAAAGGCTTCCATCATGCGGTCAATCTTCTGGGCTTCTCCAGGCAAGCGGAAGCTCCACAGAAACTGACTGTAAATGGAACCATGTGGTCAGATTCTTCTAACTATCAGAAAATGGGGGAAAGTTCTCCTTTCATAGAAAATAGAGATTTGTACAGCTCCCATCCTTAAGACATTCTGGAAATTATGAAGAACTTGGCTGTTTTCCCAGGCCTTGGGATAGAGTGGTTGTAGAGCCCTTTTTAGTTTAGCCTACTTTTGTTCTTCTGGTCAGCCATGTTCTTTTTCATATTTATTTTTTTTTCTGTTATTTATAAGCTGCCCAGAGTCACTGAGGAGTCAGATGGTCTCAAAATTGGAATAAATAAATAATTAAATTAGACAATTATGCCATTTCTGGAAATGTTTTTCATCTGATGATTCATGAACTGCATAGTTCTTTTGATTTAGTTGAGAGGAAAAGGACAGTCCTTCCTTCTTACAACAAATTGAAGCTCAGGTTATAATTGTGGCTTCTTACATATGACCTGGGACTTTCTTCATACAAAGCAGCTGTGTTCATGTAAGATGCATAATCAGATCAGTTATGAATCTAGAAGCTACATTTCCACAGTATGCTAAAAACTGGGTTAGTTTTTGTGGCTTAGTCACTTATTTTGTGAACTCAAGCCATTGGTATAGCATATGGTCAAGGTATCATACAAGCTCAGTAACCAAATTAAGCATCTTGTGTGAACACAGCCACCAAGTGCTCTACTATTGGATGGATGTCTCTTCCCAAGCCACAAACGTAGCCAGTGGCAGAGTCTTGTATCCTTATTGGATTTGCACAGCAAGGCTGGAATTTATCCAGATATATATGCACAGAAGTGGAACAGAAGCCACATTGAGTGCATGAGAGAATGTACCCATTTACTTCATATTAGCAGCATCTCAACTGGTTCCCTCTGGAGAAGAAAAATGGGCATGAAGATCAAAAGAGAGCCACAGAACCTAGCCTTCAATCTTTGAGTTATTTTGCATGTTTCAGAACTCACCGTAGTGCTTGCACAAGATTGAGATTGGCAAACTGGTGACATTCTACAAAAGCCTGCAGAATCTGGAGGTTCAATGGATCCCTGGCAAGAGAACATAAGCACAATCAGAGGGATGGATTTTTTCCTCCCCCAAACTATATTTTCTCCTGTGGCCTGAAGGCCAGAAATGAGACATAAGTGTGTTTATTTACTGAGGATGCACTTACCTTTGCCCCAGGTAATCTCCTATGGCTGTCTTATTGAGCCCTTCTCCCTGGTAAAGAAATCTGGCAATTTCTTGTGCATCCAAGGAGAGTACCTTGTGCTCAACCAGATATTGAATACCCTGTTGGGGAAAGTAGAGGATCCCTATGAGTTAAGTGGAGACAACTGTTGCTTCCAAGGAGCAAGCAGGAACATGAAAATTAAGGGGCCATAAAAATGAGTGATGGGCTGTCCATGATGGTTATTGTTATATATGAGCAACGTAGCCTGACTAGGTGGTAATTCTGAAGGCTTCCCCCACCTACAAGGGAAATAACCACTGATGGCTGATTATGACCTGAATCTCTTTTAAGCAGTGAATTGTCCATTGTCTCTCAGGTCTTAGGGAAACTCAGCTGCCTAAAGAAATAGATAATAGGTCATATAACTGGCCAATAATTCCTCTACGTTCTATGTATTTTAAAATTCCCAACTGTTTTCTCTTTCAAAATTCAGCTACAACAGTTGGGCCTAGTAAGCAAGATATAGCTTAACTCTGAAGCTCTGCTGTAGGCCCCATGATTGTGGGAAATCAGAGCTGAGATTGCTCAAGAAGAGATTTCTTTGTGGTGATATCATAACCATAGAATTCTCTGTCTCGTTTTCCCCAGCACACACTTATGTAACTTCCTTAATTAACTGTATCAATTAAGTCAAGACATTTTAGTTCCACCAGTCCTTTATTTTATTTTTCAATGTGTTTAACTATTTTCAGCTTGCAGCTGTGTTTACAATAGCACTCCTCAATGTGAAGGTTAGTGGGAAATGGTTCCCAGTGTTGATATTTTAGTGTTTACACACATGTTCTTATTTGAAGAAGAGGAATTTTAAATAGGGCTAGATAAAGTTTCTAGTCAAACTAGTTTTGCATGTGTAGGTGCTTTAATAACCTGCAAATTGATCAGAAATAATAAAGCAACCAATAAAGTGAACTTGAAACATAATGGGCATCAATCGTCCTATCAAATTGTCCTCACTGGTTTTTCTTAAATTCCTTGTTGATGTTCAACACAACTTTACCCCATAGTAGTAATGTGTTTACCACTTTAAATTAGTGACAAATAAGTCCATCCCAAGAGGTAACTGCTTTTCTACTAAGATTCCAACTACCACTTAAAGATTGAGTGGTTACTTCTGACTGTAGTGTTGTTAGTAATGGGAAGTAATTAAGTTGGGAGTATCAGAAAGAAACAGTTCAGTATGAAGTACAATTCACACTGGGTTACAGTTAGTGGAAGGAACAGAGGTAATTATATCTAGAAAAGAAAGATAAGGATAAAGACAACTTCAGTTCTCTCTTTGTGCAGGCAAGTGTCTGGTTGTGACAAATAGAAAGAAATACGGTGAGGCCAAAACCTGGGGATGTGTAAGAGCTCCAGGATGAAATTAGCAGTGGTTAACACAAGTACTAATATTTAGTATCATAGGTTGTGATTTTCCTTTTAAAGTATAGGCTATCAATTGCAAAGAAGAGAAAGATGGTTGGAGAAATACCAATGCATTCTTTATTTATTGGTTTGTTTTAATGAAACAGCTGTAGGAAAGGATGGATCTGGGCCACAAAAGAACAGAATATTTTGGATGTTTGTAGCACCTTTCATCAGAAAAAGGAGTTGGGGTGCTTTCTGGTCATTCTATCATCAGAAAGAGGACCTGGATTTCTCAGGGTTGGACCTGGGGACTGTCTTTCATCATATGATTTCTATTTTTATTTCTTACAATTTCATATTGCTCTCACTACTTGGCTTTCATGTATTAAGATTTCATGGTTTCTAATTTCTTCCATTCTCTTTTTCATTTAGTGTATTGTACATAGTTATAACAAGTAGGCTTATCTGATTTGTGTGTCTGTGTGTGTTTTTTAAAAAAGCAAAACTAAGAGCTTTTCTCCATGGCTGAGTCAAAGTACCATCCACCAATCGTTGAGCCAGTCAAAAACTATATTGGCATTAAAATTGCTGTATCCATCAGTTCCCTATTCTTCCATTGGCACAATGCTACCAAACGGTGTTATCCTTATTTATTGCTCATGGGCATGTTAAGAAAGGGCTTTGGGGGATTTCCCCATCTTGGTTTCCCTCCTCTCATCATCAGCTGTCAGAAAACATCTACCAACTATCCTCCTTATTGGGGGATTGGGAGGAAGTGAGTTTTCACCGATACCTGGTCTGGTAAAATTTGGTCATCTGTCAAAATTCACTCTGACCTTGAGCAAAAGTTTTGTGTGGCTGAGCTTGACAGGAGCCCAACTATTAGTTGATCATGGGGTTCCTTTTGATGTGGGCTCAGTGCACTTCTGGAGCACTTAACCCCTCATTCAAAAGGAGCAGAACATAGTTTTAGTGCTTTTCTAGAAGACCATTAAATCCATATTCAAAAGCAGGCCAAACAATAGATAACTGTCTGAGGGAGGGGCAGTTATGCCATGAAATGCCAGAGAGAAAGAAGGAAAGAGAACTCCTCCCTCTCTCCCTCTTTACCACACAGCCCAAGGACCATTATCTCTGTGTCAGCTGCTATTTGAGCTGGTTGCAGAAATGGGGATGGCTTTGAGATGTGGCAGATACAGGGGGAGCCGGGTTCTTTCTTTCTGTTCAGTCTTATGTTCTAGAAATTGGCTTTTTCAAAAATAAAAGCTGAGATTCTCAAGGTCCTAAATCTTACCTTAAAACTAATCTCAATACAGACTTGTTCCTACCTTAACAGGATCCATATTAAATTTCTTCCGTCCGATGCCCAAATTTTTATCCCTCTGAATCATTTTGCTGCAAATATAAAGATGGGATCTGAGCACAGAAAAAAACTCAAGAAGAGTTACCTTCCATCTTTTCTAGCTGCTTGCTAGTTCCCAGAAAGATACACCAAATTTCCCCCATCTGATGCATTCAAGTTCAGTTGATACAACTGATTTACTTAATTTTAGGTACATTAAATCTCAGTTGCTTACCTGTTTTATGTCAGACAAAATATAGGTACACATTAAACATTACTTTACTAATTTATGAAATAAAGGGAACAGGATGAAGGAGAGCAGAGTAGATTTCCATCTGATGGAACTTTTCATGCAAAAAGAGGAGCATTAGGTTACACTTACATGCAGAGAGCAATAATCAATACACATTAGAATATGGATGCTCACCCTAAAATTCTCTGTATGAAATAGATGAACTACCCAAAAACAGATTCATCTGCTAGCATCTCCCTCTCCCTCTCCCTCTCTCTCTGGAATGAACAGAAATAAGCCACACTGAATACATCAGAAAAGTGTATCCTGATTATAGTATCCTCATAACAATCTCCTATAATAAGGTCACATCTCTTACATCATGTGACATAATCCAAGAGTCAGCTTCAAGTAACTATTCTAGGAGTACTGTTGGGAAGCTTTATTCCCATAACATGCAAACTTTGTCAAGGTTAGCTATCACTCTTTTAAAAGATACACGCTCTTAGTTTCACTACAGCATTGCAAACAAAGGAGTGAAGGAAATGTTCTTCAGGAATATACAGGTAGTCCTCAGTTGATGACGGTAACTGGAACTGGAATTTCCATTGCTAAGTGAAGCATGATGTCACATGACTGTCCTGCTTAGTGACAGCAGTTCCAGCCCTGTTCAAGTGCCTAAGACTATTTTCTGTCTATCAGATTGCCTTGCAGAAGGCAAGCAAAGATGCAGTATAGTATCACAATGCATGAGTCAAACGCCCTAGATTCTTCTTAATACCCTTGGATCTTCATTTGGGATTTGTATTAAGTAGGCCTTCCTTTTGCAGCATCTTAGTAACAAAGCACCTAGGCAACTTGGCCCCACCTATTTGGTCAGGAACAGTACATCAACCTTAATTATAAGCAATATTTATATCTCTGTGTATTGTCGAAGGCTTTCACGGCCGGCATACGATGGCTGGTGTGGGTCTTCC